TGTGCTTTCACCCGGCTGCCTTTAACGCAATGCTTTTCGCAAGAGCCCTGCTCAGGCTGGCAGTTAGTCTGGCTCCACTGTTACCCAACCTTGCACACGGAGGATGTCCGAGGCTGGTATCTCACAACACCCTTCAGCCCTTCTCCGCTCCTGATGGCAAGGCTGATAACTGCTCCCTGCCCTGTGAGGGTCCAGCTCCCTGGGGACCCGCTTTCTCCAACTCAGGCTGGTCCTGCCCTGCCCCAACGATGCCCCCAAAAGCCATTGTGGGGGCCTGGGAGCGGCACGAGCCCCTGGTGTGGGAGGGCCACCCACACAAGTCTCTGTGCACGCAGATAGGTGTGGAAAGGCAGCTTCTCCTTATCGCACACTCGCTCCTACAAAGCAGAAGCAGAACTCAGCATGAGCCCAGCTCAACTTTCCCCTTCCTCCTCCTTCCCTGCCAGTTGCTCTGGCGAGGGGTGACACATCCCCGGTGCTGGGGACGGTGTGGGTGGCCCCTTGGACCACCCTGTAGGTGGGGTGCAGAGACAGAGTGCATGGGCACCCTCAAGGTGCACAGGGACCTTCAGGACCTGCACCATGGACTGTGCCATCCCACTGGGCTCCCGCCTCTGCCTCTTAGAGGAAGCTGTTTGGCTAAATATAAACACTGCCACTCACGGGAAGGTTGATGAGATCTGCAGTGTGAATGGCTGGAGGGGTAGAGCAAAGGGTGCCGGTAGTGCTGGTGACAGCCAGCGTGTTATCATTTCCATCCCGCTGTGCTGTAGGCATTAGCACTGGTGAAGCACACTCCTGCGTGGGGCCACATCCTGGCTCACTGCTGTGTGGCACCCTGCAGCATCTCTACAGAACCCTCATAACCTGCTCCTGGGAGTGGTGCTCCTCCCTGCATGCCGGGAGGGCAGAGAGGGGCTGCTGAGGAGGGAAATGTTGTCCCCTCATTAGCAGAAGGGACGCCCTGGGACATCCTCAGAGTGGCAAGTCATAGTCCTATCTTGTGGCCCAAGGTGACCAAGAGCAGGGTCCAGCCCCCACAATCTATATCCTGATGGCTGCTGACAGGACAGTTTGGTGCACAAAACCTTCTCCCTGGCTCCCTTCTCCCTCAACAGCCACCTAATTGCTGGACTGGGGCTTGGTTCCCCTGGCAGGGTGGAAACTCCTGCTCAAGAACCTCTGCTGAGCCCCAGCACCCAGTTCCCAGAGGGGGCTGCCCCTTTCCAGAGCTGGGAGGACAGCCCAAGCTGGGACATCCCCCAACCAAGCCGCTGCTTGATCTCTTTGGTGTCTGCCAACCTGCTGATGCAATCTATATTTAGATGCTAACCTCCTTGGGCTGAGGCAGAGAGCCCTGTCATGTCTATGGGTTCGCACAGCAGGAGGGTCTTGCCTGTTTCTTGGAGGAGGCAGATGGCTAGGATCAGAAAACACCCCTTGGACTGAGGGATTGGGCTTCGTGAAGATGCTGGTAAGGGCTGGAGGAAGCAAAAATCAAAGTGAAGGTTGGATCCTTCCAACATATTGGCCTGTGTGGTCCTTCCCCTTCCCAGGCAGCACCCATGATGACACTGTCCCTCTAGGTCCACGTGTCCAGCTATCCGTCTGTTCATCCGTTCATCCGTTCATCCATCCATCCATCCATCCATCCATTCCTAGCCATCAGCCTTTGCTGCACCCTGGGGCAGCCTTTGCTCTACCTTCAGCCCTACCCACGCTGGATCATGTGGTGATGGTGGGAGCATCTCTTGGGAGCAGGACAGGGTGAGGAACACTCAGGGCTTGTGCCTAGAGGGCAAATGTCATATTGGACAGCTGGAAATGTGGGGTTGGGACTGAGCCTGGAGGGTGTGCTGGGACACAGCAGAGAGCTGAGCCCCTGGGAGGGCTTGGTTGTGGACGGGGGAGGGGGAATTGGGCTTGGAAACCTGCTGGACCTCTCCAGGCAAGACCCTTGCTGAAGGTCAGTCCATGAGATGAGATGGGCAGCTGGGGATTCCCTGCTGGCCTCAGGGTCCCGGTGTGGGTGGTGGGGGCGAGAGCTGCCCAAGCCCTATGCATGAGCTCAGGAGATGCAAAGCACTAGAGCCTGGGGACAGGGTCACATCCTGCCACAGCCAGGGCACATTTCATGCTGAGGGCACTGTAGTGGGCTGTAGCAGCATGTGCAGGCGGGGGGGCTGGGGGGGCCCACACCATGCCTTCCCTGCCCCCCATCCATTGAGCTGACATCACTGCCTCCGGGCTAATCTCTCGTCCAGCAGCAGCTTCCCGTTTCCTTTCCAATCTGTGCGTCTGGGGCGGCTCCTCTCTTCTCAGGGCCAGGCAGGAAAAGCTGTCCAGCTGGGCTCTCATGCGGGGGGCCACAGGCCCCGTGGGTCTGGCCACAGCTGGGCTGTGGGCCACCCGCTCCCCCAACACCCCAGTGAGGACACCCGGGGGGCTCCAGTCCCCCCGCACACTGCCTGTCCCCTCCATTGCTCAGGTGCTCAGGGGATGCTGGCGCATGGTCCCCTTCCTGTTTGTGCCACAGGAAACCCAGCAGTGACACATCATTCAGTAAGAAATCACCACACTGGGGCTCCTGGCACCCCATGGGGTCCGGGGCAGCTCCCCTCTCCAGCCCCACAAGTTTCACCCTACTCCCTGCCAGGGTGATGCTGGGGGCCACAACCCAGTGATGGATGAGGACCAGTGTCCCTGCCACCCCAGTGGCCCTTGTCCTCCCCACTTGGTGCTACTTCCGTCCTGGCCATTTTGGGCAGCATCCTGGGCTGAGATGTCCCCTTCCCCGGGGCTGGCTGTGGCGTGGGGACTCCCCCCTGCCCTCTCGGTGCTCAGACAGCAGCTCCTCACACCTACTTAGGGCTGGCTAAAAATAGCCCCGCAGCAGAGCCGCAGCCCGGCTGCTGCAGAGAAACATCCGGGGAATGAGAAGAGACGACGCTGCATCCCGCAGCACCGAGGCTGTGTGGGGAGGTCTTTACCCCAGCACCCTGCGGGACTGGGGTGCCAGTGGGCTCTGCCCCATCAGGGCAGCACCGAGGGGTGTTTCTCCCCCTTGTTCTAGCCACGATTCCCTGCCCAGCTCTACCATGTTGCAAAGTGTTACCAGGGCAATTGGGGCTGGGGTGTGTTTTTTCACAGGTAAAATCCTCTCTGCTGTGGGTGCCCTCCATCTGCTGACGTGGTGGGAGCAGCACAGCACAAGGAGGAACTGCTGCCCTTGCCATGAGCCCTGTGTGCTGCGAGGGGGGAGCCTGCACATCTGCCCTTGGGTTTTCTGCATTTTCCCTGCAGAGGCAGCTTCTCGCCCCTGCTCTGCTTATGCAGCCAGCCCAGCTGCAAACCGTGGGAGCTGGCTGCCCCGATAGCCAGGACCTCCTCTCCCCTCCCCAGCACTCTCTGCAGGGACACACACGTGTGTGATGTCCCTCTGGAACAGTACAGGGGACATACATGACCTAACGGGGTGGCTAAAGGGGAGCAGTGAGCATCCGCGCCTGGGATGCTGCGATGTATATCTGGCCAAACGGGGGAGGAGAAACACGAGGTGTGGGAGAAGCAAGTACAGGGAAGCAGCACTCACAGCTCAGGGTGGGACCACAAAGGATCAAGGTGACCAGGGAGCATGAGGCTGGGCAGGGGGCCCCAAAAACTGCAGGGCAGGCTGCAAGGCCTGGGG